CTCTCTCTCTCTCTCTCTCTCTCTCTCTCTCTCTCTCTCTCTCTCTCTCTCTCTGTACAGAGCTCAAAAGTGTGTGCCCAGTGCTCCTGATTCCTATTTTTCCCCACAACAACCTTGTGGTTGGGCTGAGAACACACGGCTGAGCTTCCTTGGGTGTGGGTGGACTAGATCCTGAGTCTCCCCTGCTCCTAGTCCAGCACTTTAAGCCCAACCCCACAGTGGCCCTTGCTTGTAAGTTTTGAATTTGCACACTAACAGGAAACTTCGGAGGAATTTTTAACCTTAAGTCTCCTTTCAACCTTACAGTGGCTGCTAAAATGGAACAAAACTAGAAGTGGATTTTTATGTGAAATAACTGCAGTTTGGTACTGAAAATTAAAAGACATCACATATGTTAATACTGTGATCCATAAATCCTGCACTTACTCTGGTTAATAATGTCAAATAGAAAAAAATGTAGTTCAGGGCTACCTTTCTGGATGAACTCGAGTTGGAGAACATCCAGTGATTGAAGCAGGAGCTCCTGGTGGAAATCCAACACTTGCAAGATGAACTCAGCAAAGCTATGAATGAGGTGGAGGGGCTGGAGGCCAATGACAGAAGTAAAACTCTATAGAGAAACAGAAGATGGAGACAGGGTGGAAGAAATTCAAGATGAATCCCCAGAAAGGAATCTAATTCCTGGTGGAAAATGAACTATTATGCTCCACATGTCTTTTGCTTCCTCTATAAAGGGGACAGCCTCAACAAGACAGCCATTGGAGACTCCCTTGGGGAAAGGGAGTAGTTTAATATTGCTGTGCTCCATGCCTTTGTTGATCTGCAGTAATTTACGGACCTTAACCCAGTGTAAGCAGGCAGTCCCTGTGGAGTTTTTGATTACCAGAAGAAGCCCAAAAGATTGATTGTATGATGCTAACCAGAGATCTTTCAGTTTACAGATACCTGTTATGTCCTCTTTTGCGTGATCATGCTCAACGCCAACCTTCACAATCCCAAAGTCCAGCACAAGTCCACAGTTGGGAAGTTAATTACTATGAACCCTGATATCACCTGATCTGTAATGTAATTTGTTCCATTTACTTATTTATAAAGCCTTGAACTCAGAGAAAGTTGGGAGGATGGAAGCCAAACTGTTGTAATTGGACCAAGACCATTCAACAAAAGGGATGGTGTTTTCTTGTACTTTCAGTTTTCACAAGAGTAAAAACCTGTCTCTGAGAGGACAAACTACTCTTTGATTCAAAGTAGTTAAAAAGAACCTGAATCAAACTTCCATGAAATGAAGTGAAACAAAGTTGTGTTAAAATATATTTTAATTGCATGGTTTTTGACAAGCATTTAAAAAAATACAGTGAAATATTTGTAGCATATATGTTAAAGGTGATACTTATTTGGCTGAACAATATACCAACTCTGGTAAGTACATTTTAATGAAAACCAGAAAAAATACCAATCACCTTAATAAGATCAGACTTTTGTAGATTCAACAGGGTAATAATGCAATTCTTTGGGGATACTGTTAGTCTTTACATTATAATTTGTACAAGATCTGAAGCAGTTTCACAAAAATGGCAAAAGTGCAACCCCCACCCCAGCAGTTATAGAAGTTGTAGTTTAATTTCATTTTTAAAAAATAACGTATGCCTTGTTTTAAAATTCTATTAGTTGCTTTGGCTCTAATTCTGCTTTTTTAAAATGCCACTACTAGTTATGTAGTTACTGAGTCCATAAAACTTAGCGGCCCCATATTTTGGCAGCAGATACAGAAAACTTCCCTGGTTGCTGTCTAGCATTTGTCTGGATTGTTGCAGCCCAGATCTGGTAACCCACAGTTCTGCTTACAAATTCCAAGACTGCTAGCCAACAGAGGCACTGCTCACACTGATCCAGAGGAAGAATAAGACCATTCCTGCAAGTACAGGAACACCAGCTTGAAGTTTGCCAATACCACAACATTTGTACTTATGTATAAGCCTGGACTGTCATCTGTGTATAAGTCTAGAATATCCTACACCACCATGTATAAAATGTAAAAAGTACATATAGAGATACTAAACATTCCTTGGCCTAGCTTCAATCTGAGTAACACTGTGTAAAAGAAGCCGATATTGAACTGAATCAGTTTGTGTTTATTCTGTTCCTATAACACTTCTAGCTCTCTAACCCTCATTTTTTATGCCACACAATATGCAAATTTGTCCATTAGTACCACAAACTTATTTACTATCTCATGTGAATCAATTTTGACTAGAACAAATGTGTTATTGCATGAACCTTCACAGGTCACAATCCACTTTAGCATATGCATGGAAGAGTTTTTCCCTTATTGGAAGTGAAATAATAAAGTAAAGAGGTAAAAGAATTGACAGATAATGATCAATAACAAGACAGTAGTTGGGTGTAATTCATTCTTACACAGTTGAGCTGGTTATCACAAACTGTTGTCTCCATGATAAATGGTGTTAATTTTACAATGAAATCCAGCTCAGCAGCTTCATAATGAATCTATGAAACTTTTTTGTGATAAACTTGCCACATGATAGTTGTTGATGTAAAAACAGGGACTCTGATTTTGACTGTGTACAAAAGGAGAAAAAAAACCCAAATAATATGAAAGCTTGCAAAGACATTTTTCAGTTCCTTATGTCAAAATTTAAACTGGTTTGCATTGGACAGAGCTTGAATAGAATAAATAGAGTTGGGCACACTTACTTTTTAAAAGTAAATTTTAATTGAATTAATTGAATTGAATTAAGCTTGGATGAAAACCTCTTTTCTGGCAAATTAGTTTCTGATTTAATGAAACTCTGAATTCCCAAATAGAAAAAGTAGCGTTGGGTAATCTAAATTGGCTGAAGGCAATATTCCAAGGAATAAAATCGTTTTGGGGATGAGAAAATTTAAAAGCTATATTAGCCACAATCTCAGACTCAAAGTTCTGTCTGAAAAAAAAAAAAATTGTATACAAAAGTGGGCAAAAACAACACATGATATATGTGCGGCATACAAGATACATGCAAGTTATGTGTACAATACACACAAATTTTATTGGGGTGGGAAAAATAAAAAAAATTAAATTAAAATAAATAACAAAAATTAAAATAAAATATTGAACAATATTAAAGTGAACTGAATGCTATAATCATCAAGGCAGACTTTTGCACCATATTTTATGTCAGTGGTAAGTCTGGTAAGTTCTGGGGGTCACACAGAGACATGTCCCTTCTCCTAACATAAAACATTTAAAAACACCTCATCATTTGGAAATATTTAATATTTTCTACAATATGAGAAAAATTTTACATAAGAACTAAACATTCAGCCAGAATTTCTCCCCACCAAAAAACAAAATGAAAAAAAGTTCCCAAATTAAATATATTGGAAGTGGTTTCACAAAACTTTTACTTGAAAGCAGTACAACTGGATTTATTTACTTAAATATAGCTTTATATGGTTAAATGAAGCCCCAGAACTGATGCCATTTCAATTCTTGGTTGCCCATATTAATTCTACATATCATACAACATATATTGCCAACACCAATATTGACCTAGAACTTGCAAATGAACAAACAACTGTCAAGTCAAGCACTTCTGTTTGGCCAATTAGGTTCCCAGTTATAAATAGGCCTAATACTTAGTAAATCTATATTCTAGGTTAAGTACACTTCAAAAACTGCACATAATGCCTACACATAATGGAACCTTTTTCCCTTTAAAGGAGACCCCTTGTCTAGATCACAAAAACAATTCAAATGTAGATTTTTCTCTGGCCTAATTTTTATGTGGTATATTTATTTTTATATAGCAGGACTTAATTATGAGATACAGCCTCCAATTTTGAACTGATGCAGCCCCAAAAGAGCAAAGAAAAACAGAACATCTTCCATGTTTTTAAATACAGCCCAACACTGTAAACTTCTGAAGAGTCATCTGCTATTAGAGAAGACAAATATACATTACTGTTAGATAAACTGTGGGGTAATGTAGGGAGGTAGTACTTCTATCCATAAATGGCATTCATTAAGGTTTATTTATTTTTAATGAAAATTGTTTAGGGCAAATTTGTTTTGCTTATCTGGACATAGATCTAAAGCATACAAGAGTGAAACACATCTTTCACATGAACACAGTGCTAAATTCTGGGTTAAATTGAAAAGGTGTGGCTATCCTTTCTCACAAAAATAGTTTACAAAAAAAGAAATCATACAGAATGGTTATATCATTGTCAGGATCACAAGAGGTGCTGAAATAAAAACTGATTGAAAGACAATTCTCAGAATAACAGTAACAGTAACAATAATAATAATCCAGATCCTCACAAGGAGACATTATATTTGTGCTTCTATATATTAATGATTCAAAGTGATAATTTAAAAAGGAAGAAACTGTTTTCCATGTTATGTAAAAATGACAATGTCTTTATCAAAATGATTTCAGCTTTCAGTCTGGTACTTCCAAATGTCTAAAATAGTTCAATTTTAAACATATTAAAAGTTGTCCACTACGGAATATAGAAAAGACCATGGCCTTGGAATTTTCTGCAAAGGGGAAGAGAAAATCTAAGTTTTTAGCTCAGGGATCATACTCCAAACTTCGGCTTTTCAGAACAGCTTTTTCTTGAATTGATTAATAACAAATAGCAACCAGAACTGACAAGGCTAAAGTCCCCATCAGATTGCATAATCATCATACTCTTCTTGTGGGCTAAAAGCAGCTGCTCGTAGTATATCCAAGGAATTTACTAAAATGAGGGTGCCAGTGAGATGTTTCCAACGTTTTGTAATAGGATTCTTCATCTTATCAAGACCAATGTGCAGCTCTTGGGTAACATCACGGTAACTGTCTCCCATCTGATTACTCCATGTTAGCATAAAGTCATAGGCTGGTTTCCACATTGCCTGTCAGACAAAAAACCAACATTAACAAAGACAACAAGGACTGTTTACCACTAATTCTATATGGTGGTAAAAAAATCAGAAAGAATCTGGTAGCAACTTTTCAATTAACAAATGTTATTAAAAGGTGCTACCACACTGTTTTTTTTAACACCATTTCCTACCATGTCTATTTATGAAATTTATAGGCTGCCCCAATCTATCAGAGTTAGGTCTGGATGGGGAGGAACAGACTTAGGCTGAACCTTAAGACAGAGTGGCTGTGGGTATGAGGCCTAATAAATCCAGAGATGGTTGATACATAGTTCTGGATGGTGGCACTCCCTCATATTGAGCTAGTTTGCAATCTGGGGGATCTCCTGGACTTGTGGCTCCTGCTTGAGCAGAAGACAGACATTGTGGCCAGGAAAAGCCTTTGCACAACTATATCTTGCATATCATTTGCAATATTTTCTAGACCAGTAGGAGTTGCGTACTCATGTTCTTGTCCCCACACAATTGGATTATTGCTATTTGTGCTAAATGGGGATGCCACTGAAGACCATCCAGAAGCTTAAACAGCAGTCTGGTAGTGATTGTCACATCTAGATTTGCATCTGTACATCTCTCTAGGAGCTACATTAGCTGCCAGTCAGCTTCCAAGTGCACTTCCAAGTGCTGGTTATTACCTTTTTAAAGCCCTATGTGCCCTGACTATCTTCAAGATTGCCTGCTCCGAAATGCATCAGCCTATCCTGAATGAATAGGGAGAGAAGACTTTTAAGGATCTTGTCACCAAGGGAGTTCTACCTGCAAGGACCCTTGTAGTCTGGCCTTCTCAATTATGGTTCTCCTCCTGTGGAACAGCTGGCCTTCATATATACAGACTACTATCTCCCCAATTAATTACTGCAGGGATGTGAAAAACCTAGCTCTGGGAAAGAGCATTTGGGGGATGTGAAGTTTGGGCCTGCTCCTGTATATTCGTTTTTGATATCTGTTTTTGTTGTGTGCCAGCTGGAAAGAAGCATGTAAAAAATAAAGCCTTCCTATTCTTGCAAGTATAGAAAGTTATTCAAGTCATGCTGTTGTTCTTATATATTGTAATCAGTCTAATGATTTATTCCTGCTAAACATGAGTGTGTTGAATTGATCCATTCTGCATGCATGACTTGTAATATGATCACACCAGCATCTCCCAATTACTATAAAATCTCTGCGGATCTTAGAAGAATGACTATATTTTTCCACTGCAGTGACCACAAAACACAGATTGCTAGATTCTTTAGGTTGGCTGTCTTTTAAGAGGGGGAAAAATCAGTTGAACACAGTATAAAACTCCTTTTCCAAGTTATTGTATTAATGCAGTCTTCCAGTATGGCCTGAACATACCCCATGATATACTGTATATATATTTACCTCACTATCTACTGCACCATTCTTGTCCCGATGGGGAGCTTCATAGGCATCCATTTGTTGCTTAGAAACTCTGGCCAATTTCTCAGCAAGTTCCCTCCAGCGCTGAGACACTTCTACAGCTGTAGTCAGAAGAACAAAATCCTGAATTAGCCTGACAACCAAGCCTTGACAGTCCATTTTCAATAATGCCTGAGAAAAGAGAAAAGACCAGATCAGTCAATGATGTTCTGGAGAATTTGTTGAAATTTGATAATTGGCAAGATACACCCACACACGCTTGTTTTGTTTATATACCTTATTATACAAATACACTTTTCTTAAATTCATTACTACATTAATAGCAAAGAATATGCACAATCCTAAGAGTGGCAGTCACACATTATTGAAAAATGAATAATTTACCAGTTTGTACCTTTAAGAAAGAAGGCTGATTGATACAAAGTTTAGTAAGTCAACCCAGCATAATGTAGTTTGAAAAAGCCAAAGTCTGGGCAGAATTGTTCAGAGATGTTCCAGATGACAGGACAAGAAACAGTGGGTTTAAATTACAAGGAAGTACAGTAGATTTTTGGATAGACATCTCAGAACATTTCCTAATGGCAGTAGCTGCTGAACTACTGGATGTGGTGGACTCTCCTTTACTGGAGGTGTTGAAACAGTGGCTAGATGGCCAAGTGTTGGGGCTAATAGTGGAATCATATACTGGGCAAGATCACTTGCAGATCACTTCCAGAGTTTATTCTTAGGATCAGCTGAAGTTCAGGCAACAGAGGTAAAGACTGGCACAATTCTTGCTGGCATAGACTTTGAATCTATATTTCTCTAATGGACTGGATTCATTTAAAATATTTCTTCCCATTAAACAAAATTTGAACCAGTTTACAATTAATTATAGCCCACACTGCTGGATGCACAATCAAAATTTCACTCCAGAACTTTCAAATAATTTTATTCTTAAAAAATACTGGTGTGGATTATTTCAGTGGTTCCATGTGTGTAAAACAAAAACAGCCCCCATCTAGGATGGATCTAGTGTTCAAAATCGGATAGAAAAAAAATGTGTCTTGCTCTTTCTCAAGAGAATACACACACACACACACACACAGAGTAATACAAATAAAAGGGATAGTACACCTTTCTCCTACTGTAAGATAAGTTTATGACCCAAATTTATTATGAGAAGCTATAGTAAAGTTGTAAAAAGGTGACTGGCAGAGCAAACCCTTGTTCTGCTGACAGTAGTCTGCCATATTCACCTACCTTCTGTTTCCACTTTTTTTCCCACCAAAAGAGTAATTTAAATTCTTGTTAATTCTTTTGATGGAATCCCCTCCTGTCCTAATCTCTGCCCAATTCTCGGCCTTTTGGGTGATTGTGGGGGACCTCTCTGAGCAAAGCTGGCAGGGAGTTGGAAGGAGAAAAGTGGAACATTTAAAGTCATTGGCCTTTGGGATTCTATCACTGCTCTGTACGCCAAGCATACTACAGCTGAGACAATTACGATGTTGGACTTGAACTAGGACCAGATCCAGGTTCAAGTTTACTTTCAGCCATGGAACCTCACTGGGTTACTTTAGCCCCATCACTGTATCTTAGCCCAACCTAACGGAAAGTGTGTGATCGTAGTGCGCTAATATGTCACCTATACCTCCTGAAAAAAAGGCACAGGAATAGAACTAAGAATAGTTTGGTAACAGTACACATGTGAAAAAGGAACAGCCCAGGTGAAAAGGTGGGAATAATTCAGCAGTAAAACTGTACAGGTACTCCTCAACTTACAATGACAATTGGGAATGGAATTTCCATTGCTAAGTGATGCAGTTGTAAAGTGTGACCATATCACTTAGCAACGGCAATCCCTGCAATGTGATGCCATCCCATGGTCACTAGGCAAGACAACTTCCTGCTGGCTTCCCACAATCATAGTCAGGAAGCTGCAAGTCCCAGGCTGGCAGGTAACTGGCTGCTGCCAGGTGGGGGAAGGAGTGAGGTGGTGAGTTGGAGTGCAGGGGAGGTTGGGGAGGGGTGTAGGGGTGTGCAAGAGGTACCGTGTGGGTCAGGGAGGGTGTGGGAGGATGAGGTGGTGCATGGGTTGTGGAGGGTGCAGTGCCAGTTGGGGAGGGTGCATGGGAGTGCACGAGAGGTGCTATGCAGGTCAGGGAAGGGGTATGCGAGGGTGTGTGAGAGGCACTATATGGGTTGGGGAGAGTGCACGGGTGGGGGAGTGACTTGCAACCTTCCCTGTCAACTTCCCCATTGATCCCATTGAGTGGGGTACTTGGCAACCAGTCGTAAGTGCAAATGGGTTGCCAAGTGCCCAGATCACAATCACGTGACCATGGGATGCTGGGAGGGCCATAACTCCAAGGCCAATTATAACCACCATTTGTTCAGCACTGTTGTAACTTTGAATGGTTGCTGAACGAATGGTCATAAGTCAAGGATTATCTGTACTGCAAAAATGCAAATTCCCACTCCCCTTGAATTGCATTTCCTAGAGCTTTTCTTACGAATCCTACTTTATCATTGCTCTAAGTTTATTAAAATCTGCTTTTGACCAAGATGTATTTGATTACACTCAGCATTAGTTTCAGCAGTAAATCTTCATTTTCCTCAGCTATTTTTTTTCTATTAGTTAGGATCAAGACAAGGATAACTGATTCCCTTGTTTCTTCTTCCATCTTCTGAATGAGAAAGACAAGTCAGAAATTGCCTGGAAGAACCATGCTTGGCAGAGTTTGTCTCTCAACAGATACTGGGGTCATTTAAAGTCCCCTATTACAACATTATGCCTTTTTGAAAGACCTGCAACTGCTCTTAGGGAGCACCATCCACATTTCCTTAGTCGGGTGGGCAATTGTAGAGACTAATATTGCTTTAATTTGTTCATTTATTTTAACCCAAATGTTCTCTACAGTATTACCAAGTTCATTCCTTTATATGTTAACATACAATGCAATTCTCCCTTTTGTTTGCTTATGTTTCTTTTAAACAAAATATATTCTTCTGTTGCTGGATTTCAGTCAGGACACTCATCCCACCTCTTGGTCATGTTTGCCTTTCTGTACTAAGAATTTACAAGAAGCATAGAATGTAAGGGCTGGGCATTACCTTGAAGGTTCCAACCTCCTGCCTAGTGCAGACACTCTCTACTAAAGCATCCCTAGCAGAAGTGCATCCAGCCTCTGGTTGAACACCTCCACCATCTCCTGAGGCAGACTGTTCCATCACTGAACTTTTGCAGTTAGGAATTTTTTCTTGATCTCTATCAAAAATTTATTTCCTTGTAACTTAATCCCGTTGCTTCTTGTCATGTCTTCTCAGTAACTCTGAATAATTCTGCCCAGTCTTTGCTTTCTAACACTACATTATGTTTTGTTGGCTCTTTTTCTTATGTTGAGTTAATATTATTCATTTTTCAATAGTACATGACTGCACTCTAAATATTACAGCTGTGCCCTAATTCCCACAGGGCACTTCCAATTGGGAAAGCACCTCCTAAAAGCAGCCTTACAAAAAAGAAGTGGCATGTTGCTTCTAATGTGCAGACTGCATACTTTGTTTCCCTGGATGACTGTTGGGCATAGACAATAGTTGGTCAAACACTATTCTGCATGTGGTAAAGCAGCTAATTTATTTGACAATATTCATAATTTGCTCTAGTTCTGACAGACAATGAAGTCAAGACAAAAATGGAAACTAAATATAAACAATTAAAATAATGTATTGTCAAAGGCTTTCACGGCCGGCATACGATGACTGGTGTGGGTCTTCCAGGCTGTGTGGCCGTGTTCTGGAAGTTTTGTTTCCTAACGTTTCGCCAGCACCTGTGACCG